CCACCTGCCCTCCCAGGCCCTGTGGGCACTACCCAGCGTCCCTGCCCACAGAGACCTCCCTGTGTGGGGAGGAGAAATGGACACCTCTCAGGCAGGAAAACTGGGTTCCTGTGCAGAGCTCAGGAAACTCTCTTGAGGAGACATTTGAACTGGTCTTGGGAAATAAGGAAGATTATTCCGGCCTGAGAACAAGAAAGGCTTGGCTTGAGGAGGGAGAAAGGAAAGAGCCAAGTTGTAAGGGACTGGACTAAACTCGAGCCAGGCTCCTCTGAGTTCTTCTTTCTGCCTAGGCCCTGACCTTGGCCTCTGTCCTTGGGCCCCCTAGTCGTTTTTTGTTTTGTTTTGTTTTCCAGCAGAAGTCCTGCTGAGTCAGGAAAATCCGCCACCTTTGGTATCAGATCACCCTTGCCTGCCTGCAGTAAGAATCCTGTCAAGTCCCAGAGCCTTGAGGTCTCTGCTTAGTAATTTTCCACAAACCGACCCCCTACAATGTTCCTGGACTATAAATTCCCAGTTTTCCCGTTGCCATCCGAGTGGCACTAAGTCTCTCCCCTGATATAAAACACACACACCCCCATTGGAGTAGTGGGCTTCTTAAAGTCTTCCTTGCTGTCTGTAACAAATGCCTTTATTTTTTCTTTAACAGGGGAGGGAAAGAATGGGAGTGGGAAGTAGACAGTCAAGGGTGGGAGTCGGGACTCTGTCTTGGATGGGGGATCTGAGATCCCAGGGGCTCTGTGGTCTGCAAGGCCACATAGCCAGTGAGGAGGGGCTTTGCACCCTAGGCCACCTAGAAAGGAAGGGGCGCTAGCATCAAGGGTCAGTGCTGCACCTTAGAGAGGCTGCTCCCCAGAGCTCATGGCAAGGACACCCCCTGGCTGAGGCAAGAAATGGAAAGAGGAAGACTGAAGGAACAAGAAAGGGGCCAACAATCACTGTTTGACTGTCACATCAATAGTAGAAGATCCCTTAACACAGGCAAAGGCTGAAAGTGCTCTGTGTTCCTAGGAGCAGAGAGAGCAGTCGGGTGGGTACTCCAGGAGGCTTCCTGGGGTTGCTTTCCTCCAACAAACACAGGGAGCCTGGTGCCTCACAGCAGTGGGGCACAGAGATGAGTGAGACTGAGTCCCAGGAAAGGGATACAAGCCACTGATGGGAAACATGGTGAGAGCCACAAAAGAAATGCAAGGGGAGAGGACTATCAGCTCTGTTGTTGGGTCTGGGGACTATGTGTGGCACTGGATCTTGAAGGATGAGTAGGAGTTCAGGAAGGGGAGACACTCCAGGCAAAGGGGAGAACAGGTGCAAAGGTTCAAAGAATGAAGAGCGAGAACGCTGTAACTCATCAGGTGTGGAAAGATAGAATGAGAAGGGACATGTGTCCTGAGCAATGGACCATGGGTGTTGGGAAGGACACTGGAGATGGGGGGTGCACATGCACAGAATTGCCTCCCAATGGGCAGGTGGAAAAGCTCTGGGTATCCTCATCCTCCAAATGGGGATAAAATGCTCCCCACACATGGCTGATGAGATGATTTAAGGTGCCAAGAGAGAACTCGGGGCTGGGGATGTGGCTCAAGCGGTAGTGCACTTGCCTGCCATGCGTGTGGCCCGGGTTCCATCCTCAGCACCACATACAGACAAAGATGTTTTGTCCGCCAAATGCTAAAAAAAAATAAATATTTTAAAAAAATTCTATCTTTCCCTCTCTCTCATTCTCTCTCATTCTTTCTTTAAAAAGAGAGAGAGAGAGAGAGAGAGAGAACTCATGTGAGGGCCTAATATGTATAAAGCACAGAGAATCTTCAGGGTTCCGGAAAGCCTCTCCACCAAGGCCCAGCTCCAGCATCTGCGTTCTTCCCCTGGTTACAGCTGGCCAAAACCCATCCCCAACACAACCCCCTTCCTTCTGATCTGAGTTGCAACCAGAATGAGGCTTGTCCCACTGGGACTTCCACAAACTTCTACTTGCTCCATCTCATGCAGGAGCACTCCATCTCGTTGGCTATGTGGCCTTGCAGACCACAGAGCCCCTGGGATCTCAGATCCTCCATCCAAGTTCATAAGATCGGCCCTGCTCCACAAGAGCACTTCAGAATATGAATACCAGTGGCTGTGCCATCTATGATGCTTCATGTTGTATGTTGTGAAGGTGCCAGGGGACAGGGGAAAGTGTCAGAGTGGTGGTGTCTCTCACAGGGACAGGAAGAAAGGCCTTTGGCTTTGAAAGACCTGGCTGAGAGGTCCTAGTCCAGCTCTTCTCACCCTGTGCACATCACTGAAGTCTCTGAGCTCAACATGGGAGAGAGTATGCTTACTTGGAAGAATTATGGTGAGGATTTCACCAGGTGGTGTCGGTGCCACAGGGAAGTGACATTTGAGCGAAAATGTGACAAAGGTGAATGAGTTAAGCAGATATATCTGGGATTCAAACCCTCAGGCAGAGGGATAGCAAATGTCCTAAAGTAGGCTTGGGCCTTGTGTTGACAAGGGACAGCAAGGAAATCAGACAGGCTGGGGCAGAATGAATAAAGGAGGAAGTGTCTGGAGGGAAGGCCGGAGAGAATGGCCAGGTCACGCAGGCTTGAGGAGCTCATCCTCTCAGTGAGAAGGGAATCCCTCACAGGAGAATGGGGCCTTGCCCAGTTTCCCCAGGATCACCTGCTGCTGCATTGAGGAGCCACAGACCAAGAGCAAGAACAGGGGCAGAGGGGCTGGGGTTGCCTAGCAAGTGTGACGTGCTGGGTTGGATCCTCAGCACCACATAAAAGTAAATAAACAAAATAAAGGTGTTGTGTCCATCTACAACCTAAAAATTTTAAAGAAGAAGGGAGAGAGACCACCTGCAAGGCTTCGCAGCAATCCAGGTCAGCAGTGATGGTAGCTGAGCCCAGCCCTGCGGTGATAAGCTCCAGGTGCGAGGAGTGCCAGACTGTGGGAAGAGCTCAGGGCGATTTGCTGGGGGGCAGCCATGAAGGGAAGCATAAGGGAAGGCCGATGTGTCCCAGGCTCCTGGCCTGAGCGACAGCTGAACAGGGAAGACAGAAGGAGGGACAGGCTTGGGGGCTCAAGTCAGGAGATCTGTTCTGGACAGGTTAGGTTAGGGACTTCTGCCAGATAACCAGCAGAGAAGGGATGCCAGGTAAGCAGTCCAGATAAGAGGTCAGAGTTCAGGTTATGACTCAGGCTGGAGATAAAATCGGGAGTTGTCAATACAGAGATGTTTCTTAGAGCCCTAAGACTGGGTGAGATCACCCCGTACAAGAAGAGAGTCAGAGGGAAGGTCAAGGATGGAGTCAAGGGACGTGACTGTTCAGAGGTCAGGGAAGACCAGAGGAACCAACAACAGAGAAGAAGAAATCGAAGCCCCAAGAATGTATAGGTAGGTATAGAAGCCAAAGGAGGGAAGCATTTCTAGAAGAAAAGAGCAGTCCAGTGTGTGGAACAATTTATTTATGGCCTTCAAAAGAGCAGATATGAAAGTGTCTCTAAAAAAAAAAAAAAAAAAAAGCAAGTATTATACCCGGTGGCTGATAGGCTGCCTCTGCATAAAAAAAGGTAAAGTACCCCACATGTGCAATGATACATTTGCGTGAACAGAGACTGTCTCATTTCTGTAAAGATGCACAGGAATTCATCTGTCCCAGTTGCTGCTGGAAGAACAGCTGTGAAAGCAGTTACCTGGGGTGAGAGGAGCCTCATTTTTCATGACATATTTGTTAGTCTATTAAAATATTTCTCATCAAGCATATATTACTGTTTCAGTGAAAAATAGTTTTAGCAAGGAAAAACACACAGCTGTTATAAAATAGGGAAATGCATGATGTGCTAGGTCTAGCACGAGTCCAAGCAACGTCCATTTCCAGTTGAAAGGGCTGTTTGCAGAAAGAGAAACCTCTGAAGCACCTGTATGGGTTGTCTTATCCTTCTCCAAGCTGAAAATGGACGAGAAAAATATTTTTCCA